TCTATAAAGGCAGCTCAGGCCTCCTACCTTTGAATGGGGAATCTGCCTCTGGTGCAAGTGGAGGCTGCAGTCCCAGGTCTTTGGGAGGACAGATCTGTCAGCAGGTGGGAGGATGGGCAGGATCACAAGGGGAGGAGGAGGGCCAGTGGTGCTTGGATGCAGAATGCCTGCAGTTGTCAGTGAGTGTATGAGCAGCCCTGTAAAGTCCAGTAGTTACAGACAATGATATTTGTGGCCGAAGTGACAGCAGGAGTATAGGCACAGGGTGCTGAGACTGGATTGGGCTCCCCCAGGCTGGTTTGGAGGGCTGGCACAGAGACCTCAGGAACATAAAAGGCCTCCCTCTCTGCACCTCAGCTCTGTGTGAGTAGGAGGAGTGTTCAGTACTGCTCTCCCCTCAGATATGCAGCAGCACGGGTGCGCCATGAGCTGGAAGGCACACGATGGGGAAGTCTACTCCGTGGAGTTCAGCTATGATGAGAACACAGTCTACAGCATAGGAGAGGATGGCAAGGTAGGCTGGGGATGACCTCCTACTGCTCAGCTGGCAGAGAGGTCACTTCTGGAGTCTTCTCCATATGATGGGGACAATCGTAAAAATATGCTCAGATTCTGGATGAAATGTGGGCTGCCAACTGCAGTCTTAGGTGTGCAGTACCACCCTGCTCCAGGTAATCTGCAGAGAGAGTGGCTGAAAAATGTGTTCATAGTTGGAGCTGTCTTTGACCTTGTGTGCAAATCCTTTTGTTGGTGACATCCTTTTCCTAGACAGTCCATGTGAGGATGACCTTTCTCTGCCCCTGAGATGACCACATTTGAGATTTGGGATTCACAGGGAGGCATATCCTTGACCACTTTGCATAAATCTCGTCAGCATCTCCCTTTATAATTGTTATTGCAATTTTTATTATTGTTTATAATAAACACTTCAATTTCTGCAGTTCCTCAGTCTTCAGCAGTAGAGAGAGGTGTGGCTCAGGGAGGGACCTTGGCTGAGGAGTAAAGCAAATTCTCACCAGGGTACTGCATGCAGTGTGGAAAGACACATAGGCAGTAGTGCTTGAGGAAGGCAGAGAATATCTTTGCCTAGATAGAAGGCAGTCTCACAGCCTTTGCAGCCTCTGTTTTAATAATATAGCCACTTAGGTATAGATATCAAGAATGCCATCTTCTATTGAGGAATACCCACTATTTTGCCTAAAAGCAAAAAAAGGCAGCTGCACTTGCATCCCAGTTAATTTCATTATAGGCTTTTCTCCTATCTTTCTCTCATTCTAGTTTATTCAGTGGAACATCCATAAAAGTGGTTTGAAGGTGTCTGAGTATGACCTTCCCAGGGAAGCTACAGGTCCTTTTATTCTGTCTGGGTACAGTGGCTACAAGCAAGTCCAGTTCCCACGAGGGAGGCTTTTTGCTTTTGACTCTGAGGGCAATTACATGTTGACATGTTCTTCTACTGGGGGAGTCATTTTTAAGGTAAGTCTGAGAAGTGATGAGGACTACTCTTAAGTATCCATACAAACTTCTGTTAATTACAGGGGTGCAACAGCAGCCACTGGAAGTTTTTAAGTCTGACCCATCCTGGCTCTGTCAAAGCTGCTGCTCAGTTTCACACAGTGTGCATTTTAGCAGTGTGTAGTGAGTGTACAGCAAGTATTTGGGTCCTACAGCTGGAATATTTGTGCTCTTTCTTACAGCCTAGCTTTTAGTGTCCAAGTGACTAGGACAAAGTTTTAATTACTTTTTTAATGTATGGATGCATGCCAGTTCAATGCAAAATGTATGATTGTTGACTAGTGCTCATGTTCAATCTGCCTTCTGTGCCTGCTGATTCTGTGTTAGACCCAGCCTGATCCTTGTTCCTTCCTATGTACTGAAATTAAACAAAGGGTAAGGCTGAATAGTTCTGAGTGCCCAAATTTCTGTGCTTCATTAACAAGTGTTACTTATCACATGCCCATGCACTTGCAAGACAGATTAGATGGAAGTTTTACTTTGCATCTGGGGCACTCAGAGCACCTGAACTAACATGAGCTATATCTTAGGCTTATGTGCTTCTCATCAGTGTATGCTCTTAGCCTGCCTTGTTCAATTACTGCAGTTCAGTTGATGCCAAAAGTTGAGCTGCTGGAGAGCACATGCTTCTGTAGTGAGACTGGAAGCTTCCTTTCCCATGTGTGCTGCACACATCTCAGTATCTCTCTGATTTTCTGCTTACTTAGCATGCTTTCTGCATGCTCTTAGAGATACACAGTCTCTATCAGGCTTTGGTTTGTCTTGTCAGGTGCATTGCCCCCACAGAAACGTATCTCCTTAAAATCTTATGTTTTCCTTCCTTGTAGTTAAATGGTGAGGAGAAGGTTCTGGAGAGCTGCCTTTCCCTGGGAGGACACCGAGCTCCCGTTGTCACAGTGGATTGGAGCACAGCCATGGACTGCGGGACCTGCCTCACTGCTTCTATGGATGGGAAAATTAAATTAACAACCTTACTGGCTCAAAAGTCTTAACCTGGACAGTACTGAAGGGGGAAAGAGCAATAGAGATGACAAACCCAGTGTTAACTCACAGGAACAAACTGCATGGGAGAGAAGGCAAAGCAAAGTCCCTCTTCTCATTGTAGCTTTTGCCTCTTGATAAATACATTTGCCAAACCACTGTGCAACAGAATGCCAGTATGGGACTGGATCAGTGGCAGCACTGAAAAATAAGTCTCCACTAATCCATTGTGGCAGCTGGACTCCCCCTGTTAGGGAGTCTTGAGTAGCACGTGGCTAAAAGGCTGTGGTCACGTCTGGGTTCTGCAGAAGAAGGTGAGGCTGGAGGAAGCAAGCATGAGGCAGCACAGTGCATGACAGTAAGATGACTCAAACCGGAAAGGCTGATGAGAAACCAGAGTATTCTTGGTATAACATTTGTTGTTATTATTTTGTTAGTTTGTTTTTATTTGCTTTTTTTCTGTAAAAAGAAAATATTCCCTTGCATTTGAACTCTATGCTTTGTTCAGCAGTTGCTGCAAAACATGGAGGGTGGTGAGGGCAGTGATGTGCCAGGTCTCCTGCATGCAAAAAAGCTCTTGTGTTTCCACCAGGTGCTTCCAGCACCACATCTGCACACCAAGGTGAACCAGACATCCAGGAACAAAAACAACTGCGTTTGCTTGGATGTATTGTGTTACCTTGCCATAGGTATCTGCTACCAACCAGAGCAGAAATTTGAGTCAGACTTTGAAATACTTGTGTTGGAGTTCAGAAGCTACAAAATGCCTAGCAGGTACCTGATGGTGGAGAGGGGGAGGGAGGCCAGGACCAGTCTGGCCCTGTATAGGGCTCTCTGTCACTGGAGCTGTCTCTTCCCCCTAAGCCCCCAACATCAGGCAAGTGCTGTGCTCAGGCATTGCATAGCTCTAAGCAGATACATTTCATCTGCTTACACATTGCCATGGAGCTTTCTGCTGCTCTTGTGTCCTTGGCCTGTACTGGGAGTTTGTGGTACTGTTGTTCCTTGGCAGAGCATACACTGTGCTGGAAAATGAACAGCCATTCATGAGCCATATGGGTATCCATGCTCACAGACAGCTGTTCAGGGATAACACTGCTAGATGCTGAAATCCTCACTACAGGCATATTCATGCTACAGGTACCTGTTGTCCATGGAGTAACTTGCTCCTGCTGACTACACTCATAACGCCGCCTTCCATTCTCCAAGATTAACAGGTCTCCTGCCAGACTGACATCTAAATACAGGGTTTCCACCTCAGTGGGATATGATACTAGTGGTACAACTGCTCTTCATGCCAGTCTGAGCTAATGTCCCCTCAAATCCAGTGCTGAATTTGAACTGGCTTCAGGAATTCCCAGGGTTAGTCTGGGAGTTTAGAGAGCTCTCAAATAGGAGCCTTTGTTTGCCTCTCAAAAGGCCAAGACAGATTGTGGCTGTATTCCAAGCCCTGCAGTGCTGACTACATTGCATAGGGGTTTTAGAATTTAGAATTACAAAATTACAGAATGGTCTGGGTTGCAAGGGACTTAAAGCTCTTCTGGTTCCAACGCTGCCATGAGCAATTTTCCCCTAGACGACGTTGTCCAAAGCCCCATTTAATCCAGTCCTGAATGCTACCATGGATGTTACTTTCTTCCAGATGTTATCTTCCAGCCCTCACAGAGGGTCAGTTGAGGTTTCTGGATAGAGACTACTTTCAGGTTTGCTTCATAAGTAGGACTATGAGCAACACAAAACCCCCAAACAGGGAAAGAAAGTATAAAAAACATGTGCCAGTCCAAGGCTGCTATGCAAAATGATAGTGCATTAGCACAAAATTGATACTGTGCCAGAAACCTGGAGGGAAGGAATGAACATGTTTTGCTAGAACAATGCTCAACATGCTGTATTCCCAGAGGGGCTTTCACCATCCTTGGCCCAGGCTCCCCTCTCCTCGTTTCCCGGCACGAGTCCCTGCGGCTCCGGCGGAGCGCTGCTGCCCTGCGCGCCCGGGCCCACAGAGGGCGCCCCGGCGGCGGCGGGCGCGCTCGGGGCGGCACCATAACCGAGCGTTCCGGGGCGGCACGGCGGTACCATAACCGAGCGCTCGGGTCAGCACGGCGGCACCGTAACCGAGCGCTCGGGGCGGTACCATAACCGAGCGTTCTGGGGCTGCACGGCGGCACCGTAACGGAGCGCTCCGGGCGGCACGGCGGCACCGTAACCGAGCGCTCGGGGCGGCGCCGGGCCCGGCCCGCCAGGCTGCCCCGGGGCTCGGAGGCTGCACGCCTCGTTCCCAACGCCCCGTCTGCTCCGCAGCTCATGCCCAGAGCCGTGTTTGCTCCTTGACGGAGTATCGAGGAACGCGATATTGCCTGCCTGATCAAACACGGGGGTCTGTCATGACTTGGGTTTTAGGGCAGCCTGGGGCTGCTCTTCCAGCTCCCCTGTGTCCCGGTCGGACGGGAAGCAGCCCCGGTGTGACGGCGGAAGGCGCCCCGGCGGCACCGCCCCGCGTGGGCATGGCGGCTGGGGCTCGGCGGCGGCAGCTCCCGGCCTGGATGGGGGCGGCGGGGGACGGGCGGGCGGCGGCGGCCCCGGCCCCCAGCGCCGGGCGGCGGCGGGCGGCGGGGCGCAGGTAGCGCCGCTGGGGCGGGGGAGAGGCCGGGGCGGCGGGCGGGAGGGCGAGCCCAGCGCTGCCCGCGCTGAGCGTCCCCTGTGCATTGCCCAGGCCGGCGGCGCTGTACTGCATGAACGAGGCGGAGCTGCTGGAGGTGGCCCTGGCGGTCCTGGCCGAGGTGAGCCGGGACCTCCGGGGGTGGGGTGGCAGGGCTCCGGAGGCCGGGCAGGGAGCGCTGCTGCCCACGGCTCCCTGGCGGCCCTCTCCGGGCGGGCCGGAGGGCGCTGCCCGTGCCGCATGGCTTTCCCGGCCTCTCCTCTCTGTCCCAGCGGCGCTGCTGCCTTTGCAAAGCACAACCGCGGGCCTGGGGCCTGGCGAGGCGTGGCTCACGGGCATGGTGGGCTGCCCTCCTGCTCCTTGGGTGCTCCCGGCGTGAAGTCATGCACGGCCGGCCCTTGTTGTTTTCCCTCTGGTCAGAATCTACAGAGCGAGGAAGGTGAGGAGAAGGCCCGGTCCGGGAACGAGGAGGAGCAGGAGATCCCGCCAACACCAAGCGAGGCCAGCACGGATGGAGGCAGTGACCGCCGTCCGGCACTTCCATCCCCTCCTGCTCCTGGTGCTGAAGCAGAGGGGACAGGCACAGAGAACTCTGAGGACGATGTCCTGAAATACGTCAGGGAGATCTTTTTCAGCTAACATCTCTGACTTCCCAGGAGAAGAGGGCACAATGGGGAGGGTGTCTCCTCCCGCGGCCCTGGGAACGGAGGGAGGAGGGCCCGGAGGGGGCTGTGCATCCATCTGCTGTGTCGGTGCCCTGTGTAGCTGGTAGGATACCCAGAAAGGCCAGGGGGGAAAGGAAGGAGGTACTCAGTTCTCCTAGTCTGTGCTGGACTCAGTAGGATTTGGCTCCAGATTAGGATGTGTTTGATTCTGTTTCACATTTCAGAGGATGGACAGATAAAAGAAGACATTCGGGTTTCTGTGAGGATCCCTTTGGTGGGTTGTTGTTGGGCATGGAGGCAAGCAGGGAGCTGCTGACCTGGAAGACCTTTGCTGGCAGAGCTACATGGTCGTGGTTCAGCCATGAAGCTCCCTTGTCCTTGTGGTCCCTCAGTCACAGCTGCAGTGGGGCCTGGCAGGCTGTTCCCGTTGGGCCTGGTGCTGAGTTTGCCTCCAGACTCCAGCTGTCTTCCCAGTGCTGAGGAACACGAATGGGAGCAGAGTGGCCGGGGCTGGACTGCCCTGAGGGGGCTGACCCCGTGGGGGGGCCAGCGTGCATGGAGGTCTGGGAAGGGATGAAGATGGCTCAGTATCCTCTTCCCAATCAAAAAAAAGGACAAACAAACCACATGAGGCCAGCTGTGAGAGCATGTATTGAAATGAAGAATCGGTCAAATCAGCATCACCAGTCTCATCCCCACCAAGGCTGAAGCAAGAGAAAACAGACCCTCATGTCCCTTGAAGCAAATTCACTCAGCTGCAAAGAATATCACTGTTAAGCAGGCATTCTTTATTTACATAAAGTCTCCCAGCCACTGGATGAATTAATGCAGCATGTACTTACAAAGCTGTTACATATTCACTACACAGAAAAATCAATAATATAAAACTCCGGTTTTGAAAAATGATTATATGAATTGGAGTTAACCGTCTCAGTCTTTTCTGCCATCTAGTGTCTTGTAGGGGTTATTACTACCCTCTGTAGGGGTTTTGCTGGTCGTTGAATCGTCTACCTCACTTGTCCTTTTATTGCATGGTTACTTGGTGCATGCTCAGTCTGTTATCTTGTTTTCAAACTACAAGCCTGCTTCTTTCTGGTGTTACTTCTGTATCGTCCTAGATGGACGATACAGAAGTATGGTCACAGCCTTGAAGGTTGGTTGTTGATTGGCTGTTTATTTTAAGTGATATGTATCCTGTCTACTTATGAAGAAATTACCTACTTGGTTACATTTTCCTGAACATTTGTTAGTTCCTAGTTAAACATAAAGTACAGATCCTGTTTTCAAACTCCCTTTTTTATGTGGTAGGGTCAAATGTATTAAAAGCATTTTGTTAGTTAATTACAGATTTAATCACACACTGTGAGGTGCTAGCAACTTTTTTTACTTAGACTAGGTATGAACAGAGAGCTGTGCCCACTGGTAGCTGGTTCTGCTACCTTCACTGCTCTTTGGGGCCAGAAGTGCTGTCACTGATGCTGTGCCCCAAACTGAGGAGTGTTACATGCTGTTGTACCTGGGAAGCTTCTGTGCTGTGGCTGTTGACTGCTGCCAGGTTGATGCAGGAATGCTGCACACAGCAATATGCCAGAGCATGGCTGGACACGAGCCTTTGGACTGGGAATCAGATTTTTGCTAGGGAGTAAAGCTGTATATGGATTACAATTTTAAATCGTGTTACCAATAGCTCTTGTATCTTCTTCACTGTCAAATCTTAGTTAGCAGGGCCTCCTCAGATAAGAGCTTTTCACACATATGTGTGCGCTTGGCCCAGCTGAGGTGCACAGTGACAGTGAGAATCTGGAGCAGTAGCAGAGCCTGAGTCCCAAGCAGTGCCAGGAAGCCTCCAGTGAAATCAGAGGGATGAATCCAGTGTGAGGTTTGCAAAAGAAACATACCCAGGCCTCCAGACAGGATTATCATCTTGATGAAAAGTATGATGCGAATCATCTTCCATCCTTCTCCCTGCCCTTTAAATGTGGAATTCACATTTAAAACAAAAGGGATGTGGAAGAGGATGAAGACCAGGCAGGTATACACACAAACCCTGGCTAGTCCCAGTTGCAGTGGACTGATGCCCATGGCCTGCAGATGCTGGTTGTCCAGGCACTGCAGCTGCCCAGCTGTACCATTCCACAGGCAGAAGTTGTAGAAGCCAATGAGTTTGTCAGGGAGGTTCACCAGGTTCCCGGCCTCGTACAGCAGAGCGTAGCACATCAGGGCCAGGGTCCCAACAGCCTCCAGCAAAGCCAGCACGGGCAGCAGGTTCTTGGCACACCACTGTGGCAGCACACCCATCCTGGTGCCTGCATGCTTTCTTGCTACCATGGTAAGAGCTGCTGTGGGGATGCCTGTTGCAAAACATGAAGGGGGGACCCCTCAGTTGTTGCCTCTTATGGCACCCTTCCCAAGATGGGCTCTGAGCCCTATGGCTGGGGTCTGGGGGACTCCCCTTGCAAGCAGAACAGGAGTGTCTCAGTCCTGCCTAGGACTGTGCTGCACATGTGTTACTGCACTGTGAGCGGGGTGCATTTGCTGCACTTCTAGTGACAGCAAAGGTGTGACCCCTGTGTGGACCAGTGCTGGGAGGAGAGTATGACTCAGCTCCACACATGCCCTTTGCATCATGATCTCACTGGAAAAGAGGCAATTGTCAGCAAACTGCAGGGATGGGAGGAGAGAAAAACTGCTGTCTGGTAAGAAGCATGATAAGAGCTATTCTGGGATAATGCCTTTCTTTCAGCTTTTATCAGACAAGGACATCCCTTTTGATCTTTGGACTACTGAGTAAAATGCAGACGTGACAGGAGCTGAACTGCAGGGCTCCCCTTGCCTCCCTGCCCTTGTCCTATAGCTCTGGAACACCCAATGCCATTGATATGGGTGTGAAATGGGTGGCCATTTCCAGCATTTCCACCTGGAGCTCTGCTACCCACTGAGGCTGGTAGACATGGTGCTCCTCTGTCTCGGTTGCCTGGGGAGCAGTGCCCTACACAGACAGGCAGGTGCCAAGCTCAGAGGGGCACCCTGGATCCTCCTGCAGGCACTGGGACATGGGTGCTTCTGAGACACACCTGTGATTGCCATCCACCTTGCTCCTCTCTCGGCCTGGTTGGCAAAGCTGACTCTGCTCCTCTCCCCGGAATGTGTACTGTCCTCCAGTGCCGTCCTGCAGGCTTCTGCTTCACACTGAAAAACAGGGGAGTGGCATCAGGAAAGGCTGTCACTGCTTGCAGAACCACATGGCATTGAAAGCACTCTCCAGCCAGGTCTGCAGAGAGGCACAAACACAGGACTTAAGGGACCTTGGCTTCAAGCCCAGCCTTGGGCTTGAAGCTTTGCAATTAACTCTTCCTCCCTCTGACAAGCTTCAGCTGCTGAGAATAATTTACCACTTTCCTTTAAGAAGTTCACATTGGCCCTACTGTCCCCTTCCACTGCCTATTACCCAGTGGTATATCATTTACTTAAGAATTGGACTCTGGGTCCCTTCCAGTTCAGAATAGTCTGTGAATCTGTGATAACCTGGATATCCTCCTAGACCATCACCCAAAGCTGATTATGAATTTGGTACAGCCTGTGAGTTTTTAGAGTGCCAGAAGAGATTCTACTCAATCTGTACTCAGTGCCTGGTGGTGGTGCTGCTGTCTAGAGACCCTTCAGCATTCCCCTCCCACTCCTCATCTCTCCGTGGAAACTTGGAAGTGGGGCACCTCTGTTTAATGAGCACAAAGATTTAGCTTTGAACTTCTGTGAACTTCTCATTCCCAAACTTCTCCCAAGAGAAGCACACACACAGCATGGAAGGGGTGTCACAGCATCAGACACCAACCTGTCCACTTCCCCTGATCTCTTTTCCTTCACTTCTTGTAGCCTCCCTTGGAGAGCTTCTTCTCAAAAGGCTTCTGGAGAGACTGGAAGCTCACATGGAGGATGCCCATTTTTCTCAATCTGCAATGAAGACACAAGCAACCAGGAAAATATCTGTGCTTGGGCACAGGATGTGCTGCAAAATGAGACCTCTGGTGAAATGTAATTCACCATGGTTTCTCTTTCCCCTAGTGTTGTTGCTTAGTTTGTCTGTCTCACACATGGTCTCCTGCACCCAGGCATTGCTGCTCTTCCTCTCCATGTCCTGCAAGGGCTCACACCACTCATCATTCTTCTTGCTGCCCTGCCTTACCCTGAGAGGAAGAACAAGCTGCACTTGGAGGGAGCTCTTGGCTGGCTGACCAGGTCTACAGGGATTTCTGCAGCCCAGCTGACTCTTGGCCCTGCCCACCCACCCACCAACCCTTGCTGCTGTATTTCTTTAGACCAGTTTCCTAGGGAAGGCAGGCTTGTGGAAAGGTGACTTTTTGTTCAGTCATCTCATGCTCACTCCCTTGGTATCCATAAAATGTACAAGCTATTAAAATTTGTCCTAGTTGCACATGTTTACTAGAGAGGGGACAGAGAATTAATTTCCCATCGGGTTTATGGTAACATATGGGAGGGGTGGAGGGCAGCCACCTCAGAGACCCTGTGCTGCTGTGTGATCTCTGCATGCATGGGGACCTGGGCAAAGCTCATAGTACCTCTGCCCTCTCCTCTGCTTTGAGGCTCATGTGTGTAAGGACATATTTTCCCAGCGATGTCCCTCTCTTCTTGGTTAAATTGCTGGCATCTTTGCCTCCTGCTGCCTCCCCAGTAGGTAAATCCCTGTCCCTACGTGTGACTGATAGGACCAGAAACATGCCTGGGATGGCCCTGTGCCAGCTGGATGGAGAACTGGCCTGGAGGCAGTGAAGGCTGAGACCTGGCACACAGATAGGACATTGGTGAGCTCTGCAGTTCATCACTGAGGCAGGTTTAGCAGCAGCCTGGCTGAGAAGTGAGAGACAAACAGGAAAGAGCTCTCACCCAGCGTACAGCTTGGGTTTTCCCAGACAGTCTCACTGCCTCTAAGGAGGTGTCTGTGCCTTTGGATGGGAAACTCTGTGGCTCTTCCTCAAAGGTGCAAGAAAGGGGAACCTGAACATGGCACAGCGAGCCCCAGCCTGGAGTCAGCGTCCTTGTTCCTGGACTGGCATTGATGGAAACACTGGGTTTCACCATGGCAGAGTTCTATGTCTCAGTCTACCTGGCAGAGAGAGGCCCCGTGGGAATGGCTCAGGAGCTCCCTGAGGCCTCTGTGTGGGAGATAAGGCTCCTAGGCACCCTCTGTGCTTTTGGGACTGCACTGCCCTTCCCTCTGCTGCTCACAGGCAGTGGGCACCCTTGCCAGGCTGGGGCTGTGCCTTCCTCTGGCAAGGAGCTGGCAGAGCGCCTGGGCAAGGGGACAGGAGGGCACACAGCCCTGGCACAGGATCTGTGCAGGGACAGGCATCTCTGTGAGCCACTGGCTGCCGCTGCAGTGGGGCTGAGTGCAAGGAGGCGAGGGAATGGGCATTTCCTTTGGCATTGAAGAGCCCCCCAGACAGTTTGACTTTCCTGTCTCCCCTCTCCCTGGCTGCTGAGGGGAGAAATGCTGTACAAGAGTAATGGCAAAGCGTCATGCTTTGGACATGACCCTCTTCCTTCAAGACATCTGTCCTGTCCCTTCCCCACCTCCCCACCCCAGCTATCCGGATCGTGTTTCCCCCTCAGGGAGGATAAGCTGCGGAGAAACCATGGGTGAAGAAAGGCCATGACAAGCTAAGGATTGCTGGTAAACAGAAACCAATCAGCAGCAAATGGGACAGACTGTGGGGGAACTGCCCTTAAAGCGTCTTAAACCAGGGGAGGGACCCTCCAAGACATCTGCACCCTGCAACACCACTTCTGGCAGTCCTCCCCAGTGCCAGTGACATTAGAAAGAGGGGTCTCAGTGCAGGATACTTACGGGCTGCCCATGTGGGTGGGAGCGGAGCTGGAACACGCTGCAGAGGGCTGTGGTGCCGGGATAGGACACAAGCGGTTCTGCGGCTGCTGGCGGAGCTGCGCTGGCTGCGGGCTGTCCCCAGCCTGTTTTTGTGACGTGAAGATCGCTATCTCTGCTTTCTCTTTCGGTTCTGGGCAGTGCTGTTTCCCGATACGGAGTCAGCTGCCTCTGACCAAGAAAACAAGCCAAGCCCAGCTCCACAACCTGCGCCAGGCTCGGGCTTGCGTTTCCTTTCCTTCTCCCTGCTGTGCTAACCAGCGCGAAAACTTGACCGGGCTAAGCTCACCCAGATTGCCGTGCTGTTAGAGTAGCTTGGGTGTCCGTGAGGGCTTTGATTAATCTGTTTAGTTTTGTTTGGACACTTCTTTAGAGGTGACTGACCGTCCCAGCACGGATGTCAGTACCTCAGCACTGCCCTTCCTGCCCTTTGGACACGGTTCCCTCCCTCCCTCCGTCCCAGTGCTTCCCAGACACGGCGTGGCCGCAGCTCCCTGCCCGCAGCCGCTTTACGCAGGCACAGAGCAAGGTGCCAAGGTGCCTGCTGCTTCAGGGAGCCACGGACACCTCCAGTCATGGAAGGGACACAACTCTCCTGCCTGTAGTCCTCCTGGGCCGATCTGGAGCTGTTAGTCCTACCAGCAGTCTTTGTGGTGGGGTTAGCCCTCCTCTGTGTGCTGGGGCTTGATGCATGTGGGACACCTTAGCCATTGTGAAAGATGCGTATTTTATGATTGGCTTTTCACAAATATTAAAATGAATATTATATGCGTTGTCTTAGAAAGTAATGCTGTGTTAATTCTCTTAAGTAGTGTGCTAAATATAGTTTTAGGTTATAAAAAATGTTAAAATAGAAACTATGCTATTTTGGATATTTTTTTTTTTTTTTTAAAGAAAGGACTCGCAGCAAGATAGCAGGCACAGGACACCTAAATCTTTCAGAGAAAGGGAATTTATTGCCCTCTTAGCAGAAGAAACGAACTTCTTCCTGCCTTGAAGGCGCTGTTAGGATTCAGAGGAAGAAGTTGACGATGACCAGACAGAATCCTGTGTTTGAATGGAATTTATGCATCATGTATGAAGTGTATGAATATGCAACAGGCTATTGCTTTTAAGGGTTAATCCTTTGTTAACGTGTGTCCTTTTCCGGGCTCGTGCTGCCCAGAAAAAGCTGCCTGGATGTCCGTAACTCCTTGTCTCTATTGTCTCATATTGTCCTAATTCAGATTGTCCAAATTATTATTACTCTAATTGTACTACTATTTTATAACCATTTTATTACTATTAAACTTTTAAAATTTTAAAAACCAAGCAATTGGCATTTTTCACACCATGAAGCTGATTTTCACCTCATAATTCCATGCTTAGGCATGGTCTAGAAATGTCCATGTGGTACACATGTTGTGAGCCTGTAATACAGGCACTCACATCCAAGAGCACAAAGTAAGTGGAAAGAAATACAGGGGGAAGTCCTAAGAGGAGCTCAGTGAACAGAGACATGCAAGTGATGGTGGGGGGATGCCTTCCAATGTGCCTCTGTGTGTGGAATAACTCAGCATGAAGAGGGACAGGGGTCTGCATCAAGGAGTTAGCTCATGGGTGGCTTAGGCAGGGGTTCTGGTGGGTGGGGACAGAAATCTTGCAGCAAATGAAGTCCAGCAGACCAGAGCTGCTGAGCTGGAAGGGGAGAAGGAAGCCTTGGGGCTGAACATGGCCATCTTCTAGCATTGGGGCTGATGGCTGGGAGACTGAGGGATAAGAGACTTCTGAGGCAAGACCTCTGTTCCAGTGAAGTAACACGCTTTGGCAGGGGAGTGTTTGTGCTCCCAAGAGGGAGAGGTCTTGCACTTTGGGAACAGGATTAATTTTTCTGTCATTCAGGGAGAAAAAGGGTATATAATTTTGATGTGGTGATCAACCAGCTCCTTAGCAGATCTCAGCACCACAAGTGAAGCTGCTGTTTCACTGCCATGGGTAGAAGGCACAAGCAGATCCTTCAAAAATATCCTTGCTTTCACACTGGGGTCCCGTTTGCTGGGGTAATCAGGATGACTGCCACACTGGGTCTGCTCTGTCATGCAGAGCATTTCTCCCTGGAGCCACTGTCCCTCTGGAGGGGTGGCTGTTCTAATACCAGCACACCATGCAACCTGACATTGCTTCCAATGGGCATACACCTTTTAGTTTTTAATTTTTTGGCCTTTTTTCCCAACAGAAGGTCCCTGTTCAGCCAAGCTGGTCTGCAGCCTCATCTGCTTGACTTCCAACATTTTGGAATTACAGACTACTGTGCCCATAGGAGGTGATGTTTAAAAAGTTTAAATGTTTAAAATACGCCATTTGGGAATGTTACTCTTGGAGTGTGGCATCTCACTGGCCAGAGCTGGTTGCCCGATTGTGCCCCTGTGGCAGAAGCACCTTCCAGTGTATCCTGAGGAGCCCCATGTCTTCTCCCCAGCAGGGTCTCAGTCTCTGCTGCTTTTAATGCCTCCTGGGATGCCATAGCTGCCAAAAGGGAGAAGTCCAGTCCAAATCTGACTCAAGACTTGTCCTTGGTCCCAGCTGACCTTCTGACGCTGGGGGCTTCCTTCCACACCTTTGGCTGCCTCTCTAGCAGGCAGTTCCCCTGCCTGCTCCTTCCAGGTGTTTGGGCAGAGAAGATTGTGCCTGAAGGCTGGGCAGGATGCAGTTTGCCTTTCCATTCCCCTTCCTGGGGCATTTTACAGGTGTTCTCTGCCTGCCTCTTGGGCTTCCAATGCCCAAGTCTGATGATGGAGTGGCTGGGAAGGACAAGTCTGATGGGGATGAGGTGAGCAGAGAATGATCATCAGCATGTCCCATGGAGAAGGAATGGGAAGGGGGAGGAGAAAGAGAGCAGGGATTCTAGCTGTGTGTGCCTGGAGGTAGGAGAGACTGGATGGCGTGTTTGGGCTGCTGGGTCCTGTTTTCTGTGGGTGGGAAAGGAGAGCAAGTTCCAGGAGTCAGCTTCTGCTAAATTCCTGTGTGACTGTTGCTTCCTGGAATTGTTTCCTGAAATAGACATCATTTTTGCATGCATTAGGAAGATTTATGTGGTTTTAAAGTGGAATTAACTGCTCTGCAGTTCTTGATTTCTCATTTCTCATTGTGCAGTTAAAGCAAACACTCAGCATTTTAGTAATATTATTAAGGAAAGTATGAGATGAACTGGGACTTTGCAAAATTTTTTACCCTTCTGTTTTAAAAGTAAACTGCTACACCTTATCCCAAATATGATTCTGTGAGGTAATACTCCAGTCTGGCTATAAAACATAGAAACACAGAAAAAAAATTAAGAGCTGGGATATTTATTTATTTATTTATTTATTTATTTGTTAAACTTCCTCTTAGCAATGCCCATTCCGGGAAAGCCTAGAAGAATGTGATCTGTTACATTTCACCCCTTGGTTACTGTACACAATATCTAGGAATGAAATCTGCAGCTGGGGCAGGAACTGCCAAGCCTGCAAAAACATTTAAAGGGACATTCTTTATTAATCTCCTCTTTGGCAGGCAAGCTCTTACTGATCATAACACTGCAATAGAGTCAACTGTACCGTGCTTAAACTGTACTTGAACTCTGCTTACCTGGACTGCCTGTCCCACAGAAGCCAATTCCAGCTATAATGGTCTGTGCAAGCACCTCCCCTCACAGAACCACTGGGTGAGGTCCATGATCAGCAGGTGAGGTGACCCAGGTCTAACAGTGTATGGGGTGGTTTGTTCCCTTGAGAAACAAAGAATATTTACAACATTTGTTAAAACCTTTTATTCTAAGCAAAGAGGTGCCTTTACAGTTGATATTGAATTTCATTAATAATATTCAGCCCAATGAGCACACTATTACAAATGCATGCATCCTACTGCCAATAGGAGAAAATATTTTTTAACCTCTCTGGAGTTTGCCTTGGGTTTATTTTTTCTCCACTGAGATTGTTGTCAATCAGTAAATCATAATGTAGTAATGTGATGAAGACAGTTTAAATTACAGAAAAAAGAGCTCTTCCAAATGCTGAGATTGAAGGAAATCCAGCCAAAGAACTCTGTACTTCTCTTTGTGGAACATACCCTTTACTGAGGTTTGAGGTTATAGAAAAAAAAAAGGCTTATTGGTATTTAAAGAATTAAACAAACTTGTAATGTTTACTTTCTTTCACTGGCTCAGGTACTTGAAATATCTTAGGTTGAGTATCAGTGCCTTGAGTTTGTGAAACAGAGTAGTGCCTTGAGTTTCTGAAAAAAGAATAGAAATAGGAATGAATAATTATGACTAACAAGTTCCAAAAGATTGGGTGACAAAGAGGTAGTATCTATCAGTCAGCCACTTTAGGGGCTGTTCAGGGAGTGTACACCAGGCTGGGACAGGGGAATCTTGGTAAGAGTTCAGTAACTAATGGGAGAAAGTTACCATGTAAAGGCTGGTATTTTTCTTTGGGTGACAAAAATTTTTGTTTGTGTAAAGTTACACTAATTAAAATAATTTTTTATATATCTGTCTCTGGTCAGAAAAAAAGCCCCAAACAGCCACAGCATGTTGCTCCTGGGATGAAAAATACGGGTATTTTTGCCTTTATGACTTCTGCTCTTAGCCATGCTGTGAAAATGTTTTCCTGATGTTTTAGGGTGTTTTCTTTATGGTGTCTTGGTGAACATTTTGATTCATAGGGGAATATTAGAGTTATAAATTAAAAAAGCCCCAACAACCCAAACCAATAATTGTAAATAAACATGATAATCACAATGCCAGAAGGAGTACATGTAAGAAAGCTGCTCAAGGCTGAGTCCTTTATGCCGTTCTTTTCAGAAAATATTTATGAACCTGGACACAAACATATCATATTGACCAAGGAGCTCACTTCCCACTCAATATGGCTTGTTTATTTTTAGTCTGGGAACTGGACAGCTATGCTTTCTCAGTAGTATTAATTGCCACTGCTCTGTTTTTCATATGCTTGGGCTTCTGAAAAAAATTATTGTCATAAAATGCCAAAAGTCAAGAAATGCTGGTCTACCTCTTGAACCAATGAGACCATTAACAAAGCAGTCAGCATTATAAAGTGCATGTACATAAAAAGAATATCACCCATTGAAATATCAATGTGACTTCTTTCCAAATAACAGTTTGCTTTCTCTAGGCAACAATAACAGTGCTCCTATTTTACATCTTGAGGCCATACATTTTTCTAGGCTGAACATCAGCAAAGTGTTGTTGAGGGCTACGTACAGCTCCAGCATGAATTTCTGTCAAAAATTCAACTGCAGCTGTGATATTCCTTGCTATTCACCTTTTTTCAAATGCCTTTAACGACTTTCATCAAGATCAACAACAGAAATTTTGTTAAGTCTTTTGATCTAATAAACTTAGTCACTGAAGTAGATCCACATGGGGAAATGCACATACATAATCATGAGAAGAAGGAAAGTTGTTTCTTGAAGGGATCATGATCGATTTGATAAACTGTTGTTACTTGCTTTACATAGTAACAGCGTCACCTTGACATGTTTTGCTTCTGGTACACATCCAGCAAAAGAACTTTATTCATTGCATGAAAGATGTATGAATGCAATGCATACAATTTCACTGCATGAAATATGTCTTTGCTTGCATTTTAGCACCAAAATGACAGAGCAGGACCTAGTGAAGCTTGGCATGACAAATAGTTTTGCAATGTATACTGCTGTTTATAGGTCTTAGCAAGCATAGCCTTACATAGCCTCAGGCTCTTAGGTGGCCAAAGTGGGGTTCAGTCCTGAACATCTCCTCCTCTGCTAAGTTTTCCTTTTTTCTGTTGTTTATTTACAGTACTTATGTCACAACAGGAAGCAACAATTTACAGGAACTATTATTGTTGGCTAAATTTCATCCCCAAGCTTTCTAAAAGTCGTTTACTCACAGGAGTTTGCCTTGCATGTCTGTGGGAAACCTCTTGAGTAATAGTATGTTAATCACAAGCATGAAATAAACAAACACCAAGTAAACAAGGAGAAAAACATGCTTCAACCCTTTTTATCTCAGCAAAACAAGCAAATATAGGTTACAGAAAAATAAAATGTCTCCTTGTCTGTCGCAGACATTTTTCATTAAAAATCCTTCTTTAGGATTTTTCCCTTCTGAGAAGCTGAGAGGCCCCAGAAACAAAATGTAAGCAATGGTTATCTGCTGCTGTGGAATGCAACAGGTG